AAATGACATCCTTGGTTACTGTTATTTCACTTGGTATCTCGTATACCTTTTCGGATCCCAAATGTAACAAATTTAACATTTTGTACTTAGTCACGTGATACATATCACGTTGTTACCCCGTCCGGTCCCATCCTTCACAGCTCACAGTATACAGTATTAGATAGATGAAGCTTTTGGATCGATAAAGCTAAATGTACAGTACATTTTAATAAATAATGTACAAAAGCACTACATAAGACAGTTTAATATTGAATTCCATTAAAGAGATTTTATCAACAGAAAATGAAATACATATTGATAGAGGCAAAACGTGACCTGGCAAAGGCACGTGAGAAACGTGACCAAGCCATGACCCGGACCAAGCTAAGCCTCAAGCCCAAGACTCCCAATCGGCATATGACAGAAGCATTAATCAAATGCTATCTTGGGTTTGGCTCAAGGCGAAGCTTTGTTGAAAGTCGCATGATGCCTCTGGGATTCAAATAATGGGGAGTTTAGTCATTGTAACTTGCAGATTCCCCCTCTCTGATACTCAATTTAGACATATTGAGTAAAAGCCCCAAGTGTAATATTCTTATGTAAAGAGTCTCATCATTTACCTTTAATAAAGACAGTTGTCATATTAATAAAAAAGGAGGATTGTCATTATCCCTAAGTTTAACTGAAAGACTAAAGTTGTCCTGCACAATATACTTGAAACAAGCCTTACTTTGCCAAATCGAATCCGCCTCTATTATCATTTCAGGTATCGTTGTTGTTGTGTTTTTAGTTGGTTTGTGTTAACTGGTTTTCCCTCCAACAATTTTGGTGGTAACTGTGAGATACACAACGTCAAACAACAGAAAAATGACGTTCCTACTGGGATATAAAAAAAGAAAAGAAGAAGTTAGAAAGAAGTAGAATTGAGAGAAAAAGGGAAGAAAAATTTAGGAAGTACTAGCAGATGTTGAGCCATTTTGAGGAAACCTATAGTTAGAGAAAGAAAAGGAAAAGAATTAATTAGATAAAAAAAAAAAAAAAAAAAAAAAAAAAAAATCACTTTAAAATGAACTGAAAGAAGTCCTGGGAATATGATTGTTGCTAACCTGTCAGTAAGCCCCAAGATATACGATGGCTTGAAAAAGAATGTGTTGTACTCTTTGCATCACTTAATGAAGGGCAAGTTGAAACTGTCCAAAATATCATCAATGAAACCTTTGGAGATCAAGATCTCGATGAAAGCCAAGTCCCCTATGCTTTGGAACTTTTGCTGAAAATAATTAGGTACATCAGTGAAAGAGAAGAAGAAAAAATTATGTACTTACCTCTTTATATCTGAATAAATGTCGCCTCTAAGGACCAGAGAAACCCACTGCCAGTAGCACCTCTTCTGAAGATTTGTTCATCTAAACTCTGCCAGAAAATAGTAATAACAGTTACTGAAGTCCTCAATAGATATTTTGAGGTTTCAGATGCTAAAGAAATAGAAGTTAATACTGAAGAACTCCTCTAATAACTAATTGCTGAATATGACACTATCGCGAAGAACTGGTCCCCCCAAAAGGAAGATTCTGCTAAAACTAGACTTGAAAAGGATGAACAGAAGGCACTTATTTATTATCCAAAATCTGCAGAAATGGGTCATACAGATAGAATAAACAACCTTGAAGGTTGTTACCGAAACAAAACCAGAGCTAAAAAAACAAACTACCAGCACCTGACCAACCAAACGAAGGATGACCTATTTCAGACTAAGACCTTAAAAGAACCTGTGATAAATGGATAAAATGGGTTAGTGAGTTCTGAAAATTGGCCGTAGGTAACAAGATCATAACACCCAATGAAAAAAACATCCCATACTTGTATGAGGTAACAAAATTGGAAAGGGATCCCGAAATTGAATTAGAAGTAAAGCCTCTTGGCTGCGAAAATAAAGAAAAGGAAGCTTCAGATTTCAATGATAAAGGAGAACCTAAAAATAAAGAGAAGATGGGATTAAAATCAACAGAAAAGTGTTCAAACCTGATAGAAATAACGAAAGCCTTCTGATTCATAATACCTTGCTGGTTTAATTCGAAAATATTCAATCCTAGAGAAAGTTTTCTAAAATCAGAAAAATTAAAATTAGAAAAAAAAAAAAAAAAAATCGAATTAATGTAGAATGTAGAGGCCCACTTGGGTTACTCACTACAAAGCAAGTTGAGTATGGTCAGTTGTATATATAGGAGACATGAGGCAACTGAAGTACTAGACCTCTGCAAGTCACAGCATGCTCTGGAAACAACTATGAAGCACAGCAGGCGTAATGTCCTGAACCTATACTCATAAAATGTCATGGACTTGTTAGTGCGTATTTAGAGCCTATGACCATCTGTAAGATCTCATAGGGGATCACACAGATATGACCCTTGCTTCATTTTGTTGAGCCTAATAAAAAAATAAAAAAAATAAATAAATAAAAAAAAAAAAAAAAAAAATTTTTTAAAAAACTTTATGCGGGACACATAAAATAAGGCCAGGAGAAATTAATAGAGGCATAACGTGATCTGGCAAAGGCATGTGAGAAATGTGACCAAGCTATGACTCAGACCAAGCTAAGCCTCAAGCCCAAGACTCCTAATCGGCATATAACAGAAGCATTAATCAAATGCTATCTTGGGTTTGGCTCAAGGCGAAGCTTTGTTGAAAGTTACATGATGCCTCTGGAATTCAAATGATGGGGAGTTTAGTCATTGTAACTTGCAGATTCCCCCCCTAATACTCAATTTAGACATATTGAGTAAAAGCCCCAAGTGTAATATTCTTGTATAAAGAGTCTCGTCATTTACCTTTAATAAAGACAGTTGTCATATTAATAAAAAAGGAGGATCATCATTATCCCTAAGTTTAACCAAAAGACCAGAGTTGTCCCGTGCAGCGTACCTGAAATGAGCCTTACCTTGCCAAATTGAATTCGCCTCTATTATCGTTTTGGGTATCATTGTTGTTGTGTTAACCGGTTTTTCTTCCAACATTATAAAGAAAGAAATAAGGAATGACCATTTTTCGTAATTTGTTAATGATTAACCAACATGTGTCATTCTTTATTATTAAATCTTTATACAATTATCTTATGATACTCTTCACAAAAAAATTAAAACCTTAATACATAATATTCATTAATAAAAAAAACTTATTCTCATTAAACATTCTTTAATATTATCTTTATGCTGTCTATAATCACAAAACAGAAAAAAAGACTAGTTTAATGCTAAAATTCCAATACCTTCAAAGACTAATTTAAAAAAAAAACTTAATAGATAAATGAATTTTACTAAAACGCACCTATGGTGTTTTACACCTATGCATGCATTATCTCAAAAACTAGCTAATTAATCAGTACGAGGTGTTCTAAGTAAAAATGTTCTACGCCCCTGAAAACCCTTCCCAAACCCTAATACTAACTTAAAAACTAACCCTAAGATGAAAAAATTTAAGTCAAAAATTTCTATAATAAAACTTATAAAAACTTAGAAAATTTAAAAAACATAATAAAAACATATAATAGGTGCAAAACACCATAGGTGCGTTTTATAATAATTGTAGATAAATTACTAATTTTATTAAAATACCATTCGAAAAAATTTTCTTCGTCAAATAATGAAACAAATAATCAAACAAATAATCCTCATGAAACTATTAAGTCCACTAAAAAATCATCATAAAATAAATTTTATATCGACAGCAAAAAGACGTACGTTATTTTCAAATTTAGGAATAACATATCAGATATTATAGACGTAAATTAAGAAATGACATCACTAAAGCAAATATAATTAAAAAATTCATAAATTTATTTTGTTTTTAATGAATTAAAGTATTTATATAATTGAATAATGATATTAAAATCAGCTAGTTCAATAAACATAAGTACTCTTTTCTGATAGAAATCTTATTCTACTTTTATAGCCAATATTTATCCACAATAAAGGTCGTACTATACATTGTTATATTTCATACCTAAATTGTATATCATTTATTTGGCTTTCTTCCCTGAAGTTGTCTTAATTTTCCGTTTCTTAATAGCTTTAGGTAATTTATGCTTACGTTTTTCTCTTGCCTCTTCTTTAGCTATTTTCTTTCGCTCCTATAATCAAAAAAAACTCTCATTAACATTTGAAAATTTTGTCATCTGACAACACAAATACTTATGCAACCTTTTTTGGCATCTTTATCTTCATTTTCTTTTTCCCCTAGGTTGCTTCTTAAGTATCAATTCTTTATCATCTTCATCATTTGAATATTGCTCACTGTCGTCACTAGATTCACTATCCTCTAAATCATCCTGATCTTCATTCTCTGATTCTTTCTGATCATTCATTTCTCGCGTAATCTCTTTTGAAACTATGGTAGTTTGATTTTCACTTTCTATCCTGATATAGTCCAATGAGCTTTTGGTAAATCAACTAATAGTTGAAAAATTTAATAAATGTCTTAATAACTAATGACTTTATAAGAAATATAAATAACTAAAATGTATCGCTGACATTTTCGCCTCCATCTTGAGCTGCTTTCATTACATTTCTTTCAACATCTATAACATCATCTAACTTTCTTGGAATAAAAGATCGCTTAAAAACTTCCTCATCAACAATATCTCTTTGTAGTTGTTCTTGTTGCTCATCAGTTAAAGTTTAATTGATTGTTGTGATTTCTAATCGCTCCTGAATCTAAATATCATATAAGTTAATATATAGGAAATTGTGCATTTCCAAGACTACCGAAATCCCACCTTCTCTAATTCTTCTTCTTCCATACTAATGTTAATATCGGTAATAAAATCAAATAATTCCTTGATACTTATCACTCTCACTCCTTTTTTCTTAAAATATTCTATAACATTTGTACAATCCTTTCTCAAAAATTCAAGTGCATGAGGATGGTCATGCTTTAATGATTAAGATACATCAATAATATTTAGTGTTCGTGCATTATATCTATAGATTAATAATTAATCAAATATAATAAATTTTATATTTATAAATTTTATATCAAAAGAATAAAATAAATGTGGCCATACAAAAGATTGTATTCACTTAAATCAGCATGGACAAGACGACATTTATGATACATTGTTCGCATATTCTTGACAAGCTGATAATATAATTCTGGGTATTTATAAGAACTAATAATTGCATCCTTTAATCTGGGATACGCCCTATTTTTTTTAAAAAAAAAAAAATTAATCAAGATATTAGCATAATGAAAACGTTATGGAAACAAACTTATATATATTCTTACCATTCATTTTTATCTCTTAAAATACCACCAAAACATTTAATCTCAAAACCAGAAGTTTTCGGGACAAGGTATTCCTAATTGCCATAATCTTTTCAAATTTCTCATTTCTTTTTCCGCCCATAATTTGACCATCTTACGAGGATTATCCATGTCTAAATCTGAATTCACCAGTGACATAACGATCTCTATCTTTGAAAATTAGAAATGAAGTAGCTCAAGGTGAAGGCGAAAATGTGAGCGATACATTTTAGTTATTTATATTTCTTATAAAGTCATTAATTATTAACACATTTATTAAATATTTCAACTATTAGTTGATTTACCAAAAGCTCAATCAAATGATAATATCAGGATGAAAGTGAAAATCAAACTACCATAGTTTCAAAAGAGATTACGCGAAAAATGAATAATCAGAAAGAATCAGAGAATGAAGATCAAGATGATTTAGAGGATAGTGAATCTGGAGCAATATTCAAATGATGAAGATGAAGAAGAATTGATATTTAAGAAGCAACCTAGGGGAGAAAGAAATGAAGATAAAGATGGCACATAAGTAATTGTGTTGTCAGATGAAAATCAAATGTTAATGAGAGTTTTTTTTTTTTGATTATAAGAAAGAAAATAGCTAAAGAAGAGGCAAGAGAACAACGTAAGCATAAATTACCTAAAGCTATTAAGAAACGGAAAATTGAGACAACTTCAATATATAATTTAGGTATGAAATATAATACTGTATTATAATAAGTTGAGTACGACCTTTATTGCGGATAAATATTGACTATAAAAGTAGAATAAGATTTCTATCAGTAAAGAATACTTATGTTTATTGAACAAGAATAAACAATTATTTTACGATGATTTTTTAGTGGACTTAATAGTTTCATGAATTTGATTATTTGACGAAGAAAATTTTTTCGAATGCTATTTTAATATATATCTATTAAGTTTTTTTTTAATTAGTCTTTGAAGATATTGAAATTTTATTATATTAAGAGAACGTTTTTAGTATTAAGCTAGTCTTTTTTTTCTGTTTTGTGATCGTAGACAGCATAAAGATAATATGTAATAGATATTTCACGGTTCCGATGCACGTTGTGAAGGGGAGATCGACACCCCGGATCCGACGTCACACCAATTCATGAATTTCACGAAATTCACGGAATTCATGAAATTCGATGAATTGGTGGAATAAATTCAAAAT